ATCAAACGATTGCTGCCGTCACCGTGATCTCCTTGGCTTGCTTTGGTGTTGCGCCGCGTGTTTGCTGAGGTGATCTCCGCACGTATTGTATGATGAAAAGCCTCAAAAAGTATGTATTAAGCCAGTTTTCACAGCAGGCTTTTTTGTTTATGGGGGGGGGGGGTAGAATTCTTTGATATTAATTAATAGATAATGAGATATATGACATTTCCATGTCAATTTGTTCGTTATGACGTTAATAGGTTAAATTGTATTGATAATCAGGTTGGGGTGATTATCAATAAATTTAGAATCAAAACCAACGATTCAAAACTTTTGAATGATCAAAAAAATTAAATTACTTCTCAAAGATTCAAATCTACATAATCAAGTTTTGACTAATTAGCATACCATGGAATGTTTGACCAACTCGATACGCGTGGCAAAGTTTGATCCACGTGTATTAACCGGTAATTGGGTTTGGTAATAAATATTCATCAACAACTAGTCGATCCATTTATTTTTGATCTTTTAAATTTGTGTTTAATTGGAAATATAAGCAACCCAATTGATGGTCCGACGTCACCTTCGAGAAAATCTATCGCCCTCCACCTACCGCTGAACATCGCGTGTGTACCTGTCTCGGTTCAGACAGGGTCCAGATTTCCCTGCCTGGCACTTTTTCTTTTAACCTGTGGGCCCCTATGAACAGTGCTCGCCTTTACGTGGCTTCTCCCGTTGGTCGCCATCGACAGCCCCTGTCTGATCGCAGACAGGCGAGTCGCCCTACGAAGGACGCAATCCACGTTCGTCGGGAGCCCACTTCACCTACCCCTTGACGCAACAAGGTACGCAAGCTGGAGACTGCGGGCCCCGTACGACCCCGAGGTGACGCGTTGCCACGTCATCCGCGGTTACGGGGATGTGTGTGCGTCGCTACGACTCCACGCAGCACCGAAGACCCAACCGTCTCAGACGTCGGGACAGGCTTCCCATGACGTCATTCCCGCTCCCCACTCTTCGCTATATAACCCCTTCCTCCGGTTGGCGTGTTCTTTCTCTCGTCACTCTTTCCTCGATTTCCCCCGAACGGTTCCAGAATGCAAGACGCGATCCCGTACAGATCCGCGCGGGGCTGGTTCCCGACGTCGCCTTCGTCCTCATCCGCCTCGCCCTCCTCCTCTTCCCTCGGTGGAGTGACCGTGCGGATGATGGTGGCGGAGAACCCGGTGGTGGTGGTGGGGCGGCGGAGTTGCTGCATGGTCGACGTGGCAAGGCGCCTTCTGCTGGGGCTCGGGGTCAACCCCGTGGTGCGCGAGATCGGAGAGGAGGCCGCCGCCGTAGAGGAGGCGGCAGCCCTGGTGGAGGCGGTGGCCGAGGTCGGGGGCGCCGGTGGGGATCGACGGCGGTCGTCAAAGCTCCCAGTGGTGTTCGTTGGGGGAAGGCTACTAGGAGGCCTCGATCGCCTCGTCACCGCCCACATCACCGGCGATCTCGTGCCCATCTTGAAAGATGCCGGCGCTCTCTGGCTCTAATTTCCCCATCTTTTCTTCTTATATATATATATATATATATATGTGTGTGTGGTTTGAAAGTAGAAAAAGGAGGTGATTTTGTGTGATTTCCTGGCAACCGTTTGATTTGGTTATAATCATTGCAAAAGTTGTAAAATTGTTAAAGGAAACTAAAAAAAAAGAAGGGGGTGGGGAATACAAATTATGGTCCTCGCATGTGACACTAGCAACTTTTAGATTCGTGCTAGCACTGGATCCATGACTGTCAATTTTCGATCTATCTACTGACGTCGAAAGAGAACAAGCCTGGCGGTCGGTAATTTTATATACACGTGCAGGTCACGTGAACCTGTTTTTACTACGAGTCGTCCGCCATTAAATGTCAGGTAAAGTCTTTGTTCTTTAATGCGTTATTCATATCCACTGCAGTCCCAAACCAAATTTCGACTCGGGAATGAACCATTCATAAATTAAAGGCACAGCCTGTTCGACCTAAAAGAAAGTCAACGCGATGACAAGTAGTAAGGATTTCTTTTTGTCGTTTGACCCTCGAAACAACAGGCCAAATTCGAACGCCACCCAACTTGTCATCGCGTTGACATTGTCGCTCCCTGTCCATACAAGAAGTCAACCCTACGGGTTTACTGGAACAATTCAGAGTCCCGGAAATCCACTATATCCGAGTGGGTTTGGCAGCGGAACACCGTTGTGCCTTCGCGATCGGGCGGTCAACACTGTCGCGTGGTTCAACCGGACAGCGGCGTTATCCACTTGTTATACGTCGTAACGCGTACAGAGCACCAAGGCATGCAGCGAAGAAGACCATCTCCTCCGTCGCCTACCTATCAATAGTATTCTCATCTTCCTTTGTCTTGCAGAATAAAAACTCTCTCTCTCTCTCTCTCTCTCTCTCTCTATATATATATATATATATATATATATATATCGTATGACTCTTCACTGGTTCACTACACTGGGGCCGGAACTCGTCTAAACTGAAAAAAATATGTTAGGATTGCAATTTAAGGCATGAGAATTAGCAGATTCATGTTAGATGGGGAAACTCACAGGTTGGCTCAAGTTTAATCATGGTGGTTCCCTAAGCCAAATTCAAGGAGATACCATGCCGTGTGGGGACTCCGATGTTGATTGCTGTGACCTGAGCCAGCAATTTGGGCCGAGTAAATGGGCCAGACTTGGCCTGTGCTGAGTTCAGGATTGCATGGGCCGATTCAGTCTTTTTTTTATTATTTCAAGAAATGAAGCACTATTTTAGATGTTTTCACCTTTTTAATCTTTAGTATGCCAAATATGTCCCTCAACACATTAAGATTCTCCATCTCTCTCTCTCTCTCTCTCTCTCTCTCTCTCTCTCTATATATATATATATATATATATATATATACATATGTATATATATATATATATATATACATATGTATATATATACATATATATATACATATGTATATATACATATATATATACATACATACATATATATACATATATACATATATATATATATATGTATACATATATATATATGTATACATATATATATATATATATGTATACATATATATATATATATGTATACATATATATATATATATATGTATATATATCGCTGTTATGTATTGATAGATGCATTTGTGCAGTTTTGCCGTATGGCTTCGTTGCGATCAAGAAGAGGATCGGCTGTGATTGATGCATCGTGGTCCGTCCGTCTCCAACATTCTCTTGTTCTCGGTCTTGATCAAGATGGTCAACGCGCCGCCGGCATCCCTGCGACTGCGAGTCGCTGCTTCCTCGCTCCCCGCCTTCCCTCTTCCCCAAGAAAACCCCACTCGATTAGAACCCCTCGGAGAGAAAACCTAGTCAAATTCATCGGAGGAGAACAGAAGAGGGAAAAGAAAAGGAGCGGGAGGGCGAGAGAATGCTACTTCCGGTGGTGAAGTTGGGATCGCTCGTGCTGCGGACGCTGTCCAAGCCCATCGCCTCCAGGCTGAAGCAACAGACCGGGAATTACCCCAAGTTCCGCGAGTACATCATTGGCCTCGCTCAGGTGCTCCCCTCTCTCTTGTTCTTTCTTTCCTTTTTGTTGATCAAAGATCTGTCCTTTTCTTTTCCTTTCTTCTATTTGGGTCAATTTGCTGCCCGTGACAATATCATTGGGATTGCATGAATCGAAGAGGGGAATTCCGGTTCGCATGGTAGTTTTGATTAGAAGCAAACATTGGCATAAGCATCTTGCAATGTAGTGCATCAGGAGAGAAATGAAGGTTGCTCCCCCTCCATGTTTCTCCATCATTGTTCTTGATTTAGCTGTTTGCTTATCATGTTAAGATGCTATGAAGTCACCAACCTCTGTAGTGATTCATATTTCAACCCATATGCATCATTATACCCAAATAGTAGCATGATTTATATGTCGATCATTGGGATAGCATTGCCTTATGTTGTAGAATGTATTTTTCATATAACTACATCACTCCTAATTAATTGGATTTTGGAGTTTGATTATTGAATATTTCTTATGAATACATGACACCTGATTAATTGGATATGGAGTTCCTGAGAATTTTTCTCCACACTAATGTTCTTATGCAAAACTGGTATCTTCACTGTTGTTGATGGATTTCTTCTTCGAATGGTTTAATAATTAGGCAATTTTTCATAACTAATTGGATAAGAAATCCCTGGGAGATCAAAGTTTGTATCAATTTTTCTCCAAAGGTAGTGTTCTTATGGAAAGCTGGCTTCTTCAGTGTTGGTAAAGGATTTCTTCTTTCAATGGTTCTACAATGAGGCAAATCATCATAACTAATTGGATATGGAATTCCTGGGAGATGAAAATTTGCATCAATTTTTCTCCACGGTTGCGTTCTTCTGCAAAACTGGCATCTTCTTTGTTGTTGATAGATTTCTTCTTCTAATGGTTTTTTGTAACCAGGCAAATCATCGCTTCACAACAACCATTCAAAGGCGCCTTTATGGTCAGGCAACTGATGTTAAGATCCGACCCTTGAACGAGGAGAAAGCTGTACAAGCAGCTGCAGACCTCTTCGGAGAGCTCTTTGTTTTCTCGGTTGTCCCTATTCTTCGGCATTCTTTTTCTGATATTACTTGTCGATATATTCACATTATGGACATTTCAGCATGTATACACATCATAATGTACATTCACCCTCTTGTGCTCACAAATAAGAGTTTGTTGGTTTTTCCCTTGTTTTTTGTAATATCAACTACTTATGAGCCTCATTGCTACACTAGGTTGCCGGAGCTGCTATAATCTTTGAGGTGCAACGAAGTGCCAGATCAGAAGCTAGAAAGGAGGAGTCGAGGAGACAAGAACTCGAGGTAATTAAAAGGTTCCCTTTTACCTATACAGATCAATGGACTTAAATTATTACCTCAAACTCCTTTGTCATTCCCGATATCGCTCATGAATGTGTAAAATGCTGATGAGCACAATTTTGGTGTCACCTTGTTTTCTGTTCTTGCACTGAAAATGTGCTTTGAGCTCTTTACCTTGGTTTTTAAAGAAATTTGAGTGATTATGACAGTAGATGTAACTCCTATAACAAATGATATGTAATCACTATACAGTGACCTGTGATGGAACTATCACAGTGCCATCTATGCTGCTTAGTGGTTCAATTGGAGCATCAGATGCTTAGGAACTATTGCAGTGCCATCTATGCTGCTTAGTGGTTCAATCGGAGCAGCAGATGCTTAGGGATTGCAAGAATTTTGGATTGTTAGAACCTCTATTTTGATTTTAGTTCAGTCTGATTTTTGGCTTGGTGCCTATAGATTTTTTGGTTTCCAAAAAAACAAAAGTTGGAATTACAGTATGTTAGTTTATAGGTTAAACTGTTTGTGGGTTTTTCTTTCTGTTATTTGGTAAGAATTTGCGTCTGCTCACTTTAAATTAAAGCATCTTATATAAAATTTTCATGTTATATTATTCCATCCTTCATGCAACCGAACATACATAACCAAGCATATATGTTTCTGTCATAATTTCTTGGCTCTACTTGGTTGCTTCCAGGATTTAAAACTTAAGATCAATCTTGAATATGTTCTTCAGTTACTTTTTGATCCAATGTCTATTACTGAACTTGATTTAAACGCTTGACAAAGTTAAAAAGGAATTAGCTCTGTAGACCAGTTGGCTGACTATGCAGAGTTTCCCAACAGTAGCTTTAAGAAGGACATAAGGGCAGCTTTACCGATTCTTTCCTTTAATTTTTCGACGAGTCAGCTGTCATCTCATCGCCTAGTTTTATTTGCAGCCCGACAAGAGGCTGGTTGCCGAATATCTGATCCCAACACCACCCTTGTGTGTCGCTTGTTCAATCTATTCAGTTTGATCAGCTGTAACTCATATGCTTTCATCTGCTAGCATACGTCGTCTCATGTCCTCGCAGGCCATGAAGCAAAAGGAGCAGGAATTGGCCATAGAACTGGAGCTACTCAAGGTGAAGCTCGATGAATTAGAGCACCTTGCTAGGGGACGAGGCCTATTAAGCATTTTTGGTGTTACACATGGCCAAGAATCTCTCAAAAGCGTAAACCCAACATTAGCTGCTTGATGAACTTGAATGATTCCTGTAAAGATTGTGTCATGTTCTTCAACTCTGCTTATAGATTTATATTTCCTTTTTTTTTTCAGAATAAACAGATTATTTGGGCAAGTGAAGGCTTATTCCTGATATTTATAACTCTTGTCGCAAGATTAAACATAGCATTAGATATGACTGTGATGATTTATGACTGGTTTCTCTGTGGTAATTGATTAGAGCAACCACCTGTTTACTAAGATCATCATGCATTATTAATTTATTTGTGCATCTTATTGCCAATGGATATATTTCCTCATGACACCCAAAATATGATTCCAGAAATTGCAGCGGAACAAAAGCATTCACAACAGAATCTTTACATAGACACAAAACAATGTCCAATTTGCTATTTTAACAAATAGCTTTAATGAAAACATACCCACAATTAGCTTCACCAAGAAAAGAACATACAGTTTCTTACATTTCAAGCTGCAAATGAATCGTCTTTTCTAACCTATTGATCGAACGATTGGTACTCGACTTCAAGACATTTAGGGAGATTACAAATTCTTTTGGCCAACTATAAATAAGAAGAAAGAAAATAAGGGAGATTACAATTTATTTTTGTCACGGATTTTATTTTTTTATGATCACATCTTTATTCTATAAATATTTATTATAATTCATTTATTCGTCAAATCATAAGTGAAAAAGTAAACATAGCGATAGAGGAAGGTCTGTTCTCCATGTAGTTCTATTTAGCGATAGAGGAAGGTCTGTTCTTCATTGGAATATGATTTAGTACTAGTGGGAGGCTGCTATGAAAATAAAAAACAAAGAAAATTCAGCAATGCTGAGTAGGAACCTCAAAAGTCAACTCAAAATGAATACATGATAAAAAATTAATCATCTCATTGGCATATATCAAATACCTGAAGGAGCACTCCCCAACAGCGGATAGAGAGACTTTATCTTAGGAGATGAGTTTGTATTCTCATAACAGCGGATGAAGACAAACTCATATCGCACTCTCAACAGTAGATAGAGTGGTATCCTTTACTCGCCAAAGTGGGGACACGTCCCTCTCAATAGCGGATGGAGGAACCGTCTAGCCGTCACATCTAACGGCCTGCTAATCCTTGAGGGGAATCGTCTTACCTGCCCTCGACAGGGAAATAACATAATCTCACATTGGTCATGTCTATATCGAGATGAAATAACACATTTAAAATATCTCTTTCAAATATCATCAATATCAAATAATACAAATTAACCCTCAATTGACTTGAATCATAGTTCAATCGATCCAATTGAACTCGATTTATTAGAACCTAATCGAACTGATCTCTAATCCTCGTTTAACTAGTCTAGTACCACCCTATACTAGTATAATTTGGACTAGATTTGGTTCAATTTAGGTTAAACTGACCTGAATAAGTAAAATAAATTCGGAATCACCATAAATTGATCTAGACTAATCAAGTCTAGTTTAGTTCAATTAACGTTTGAGCTCAAATCCAACAATTACATAATATTGGACTGGGCTAGACTAACTCATATACTGGTCATGTGCACTGCACATAAGTGTGCATGCACCACAGTAGGTTGGACCAACCTTGGCCCATGTTATGATTATATGTGTCGCATATGATTGCCCATGTTGCGCTAGGGTTAACCTACTGGCTAGGGCTTGCCTTGCGGGTTAGGCCTAGCCTACAGGTTGGGCCTAATCTGCTGACTGGGTCTAGCCAATGAGCTATGGCTTGACCTATGAGTTGGGCTTAGTTTGCAGACTGTTCTAACCTTATGCCTATCCAATTTCATCAATATTGAATTATGATAATATATATTCATTAACAATAATACATTAAAACATAACAACAGATTAAAGAATAAGATTAAAAGATAAACTTTAATACAAGAAAATGATATTCTTAATTTAATATAAATTAGAAATCATATTTTCAATACACATAAATAATTTCAATGTGATCTAATCAAATAATAAAATTCTAAATTTTAAAAGGGATAAAAATTTTCAGATAATATATTATAATCTAACAATAAAATTTTTAATAATTAAAGGATTAAAAAATATTTTTTTGAACTACTCATAGTATATTTTAATCCAAATAAGATTAAAAAATAAATTATAATACAAGGAAATAACATTCCTAGTCTAAATATGAAAAATTAAATATCATGTATTCAATACATAAAACATGTAAGTGTATTTAAATCTAAAGAAACCTTTAAAGAGGATTGAAGAATCCCTTAAAATCTTTAGATAATATATCTTAATCCAACAATAAGTATTCTTACATTAAAAAAAATTGATAAATATTTTCAAACTACAAAAATTTCAACATTTAAGGAATCAAAATAAAAAATTTTATTTTCCAAAAAGGTAAGGAAACCTACCTCTAGTCAACCGGATATAACTCCTCGTTCCTCCCATTATTGGGCTCGGCTAGGTGAGGAACGAAGGAGAGAAATCTCTTCCTTTAAATAGGAGGAGGTGAGCCTACATTAAAGGAAATTTATCTTAGTTTTTATATTTATTTAATGTGAATCATTTTTATTTAATATACTAACAAATATGATATCATCGTATTTGAAAAATTTAATAGTCATTTCCTAATTTTCAATAGCAGAAATAAGATTAATATTTCCTAAATTATAATAGTAAGTAAGGAAATAAAAATTGATTTCTAAATTAAATATTTGATTTGATTATATTTCTCCCATTTTAAAAGAAATTTGATCCCAAATTTAGCTTACCTTAATAGAATAGGTGAGGATATTGCTCTCGCATATATTCTTTTCTTTCCCACGTTGCCTCTTGGTCTGAATAGTATTGTCAACAAATCTTTACCAAAAGTGACATCATCTCTTAGTTGTAGAGGTTAGTAAGATATGACATATGATGGATCCTTGATATATCTCTAAAGCATATACACAGAATACATCATGGATGTTAGCTAAAGCCGAGGGTAATGCCAATCTGTATGCCATAGACCCAACCTTTTATAAGATCTTGAATGGGCCAATGAATCTAGAGCCTAACTTCCCTCTTTGACTAAACCTCATAACTCCCTTGGTTGACGACACTTTCAAGAAGACGTGTTTACCAACTTTAAACTCTAGATCTCTTCGCCTTCGATCTGCATAACTTTTCTGACGACTTTGAGCTATTAATAATCTTTGGCGTATAATTCGAACATTATTAATATCTTTTTGAATTAATTGAGGCCCTAAAAGTTTTCGTTCTCCTATCTCATCCCAATATACAGGTGATTTGTACTTTATTCCCTAAAGAGCTTCAAATTGAGTCATTTGTATACTAGAGTGGTAACTATTGTTATAAGAAAACTCAATTAGGTGTAATTGCATATCCCAACTCCCACCAATGTCCAAAGCACATACTCTTAAAGATATCTTTAGGAGTTTGTATTGTCCTTTCAGATTGCCAATTAGTTTGGGGGTGAAAAGCTATACTAAATTTTAACCGTGTGCCCAAAGATTTTTGTAGAATTCCCTAAAACTTAGAGGTGAACCTTGGATCTCTACATGAGATAATGCTAACTAGCACCCTATGATATCGAATAATCTCCTTAATATATAAGCTTACTAGTTTATCTAGTGAATTCTTCCTGTTAACAATGAGGAAGTGTATCCAATGAATTCTTCTTGTTAATAGGGAGGAAGTGAGCAGATTTAGTAAATATGTCTACTACTTAAGGTATATAGTTTTGAATGCCGAGCGGAACGTACCTGTCCAACAGTAAACCGATATGCGAACCTCTCGTTACCGGACGATATATATATATATATATATATATATATATATATATATATATATATATATATATATATAAGTGCAGTGGAAAACTTTCGACGATTAAAACTGCATTCGTACGATAAAAGTAATTTTGGTAAGAAAGCCGATTCGTAAATCACTTTAACTTATGATCAAGCGAGATGCAATTAAAGCAAATATATAAAGGTAGTTTGCAGTTTAAGATGGACAACATAATGTAATAGCAAACTGGAATACGACGTTCATACGATAAAAGCGATTTCAGTATGAAAGCCGATTCGTAAATCACTTTAACTTGTGATCAAGCGAGATGCAATTAAAGCAAAGATATAAAGGCAGTTTGCAGTTATGATGGAAATCAGAATGTAAGAGCAAACTGAAATATGATGTTCGTACGATAAAATCGATTTTCGTCTTAACGCCGATTCGGAAAATACTTAACTATGAAACACGTTCGTAAATGAGCAGAAGACAGTAAGCTACCGAGGAGGTTTATAGTAAAGATAAGATGCTCAAAGTAAATGCAAACCGAGATTTAGAGTAGTTCGGTCAATCTTGACCTACATCCACTTTTAGCTTCCTCCACCGACGAGGTCACCGACGTCCACTAGAGGCCTTCCTTCAATAGGCGAAGGCCAACCACCCTTTTACAGTTTCACTCCTTTTGACAAGCTTAGGAGACAACCCTTACAAACTTTTCTCTCATCTCTTGAAAGATCAAAACTTGGAAGAAAAGAGGGAGGAGAACTTCTAGCCTTTACAACACTTTTGAGCTCTAAAAATCACAAAGTAAGATTGTATTTTCAATGCCTTTGGTTGCCCTTTCATGCAGAAAAGGGTGGGGTTTATATAGGCCCCAAACTGGTTTGAATTTGGAGCTAAAAAATGTCACCTCTCGGATTTCCGTGATCCTAGCAGTACTACCTCTTGACTGGGGCGGTACAACCGCCTGGCAGCTCGGAGACTGAGCCTCTGGGCGGTGCCACCGCCTGACAAGGGCGGTTGCACCGCCCAGTCTCACTCGGAGACTGAGCCCAGGCGGTGCCATCGCCTAACCTAGGCGGTTGCACCGCCCAGCTTTCCTGGGAGACCATCTCCTGGGCGGTGCCACCATCGACCCTGGCGGTGCCACTGCTTGACAGGAATTCTGGTCCGAATGGGTTGATCCATTCGACCCAATTTGGGTCTATCAAGGGCCCAATTGCCCCCAGATTAAGTTAATAGGATCACCTCCCATTCCTAACTTAATCTACATGCTAACTACGATATTTCTTAAGACATTTACTGCAACTTGCTCAGGTGCGTCAATCGCTTCTTCCGGCGAACTTCCGACGAACATCCGACGAACCTTCGGCGATGCTCCGGCGGACTTCTGGCAAACTCCTGGACGACGATCCACTTGGCAAGTTCCGACGA